AGCCAGCCATACGTTAATGGGCCACTTTCATAAATGTGGGAGTCTTGCACACGCAGGGTGGCTCAGCCTGTCTGCACTGATGCAGCTGTCAGCCTGTTTGTCTAGAAAATGCTTTTCTGAAAGGTGTGATTATTCTAGACTGTTGAGCAGGTTCTTCTGTGTGAGTGCATTTAAACAATGCCAGCGGTACCGGTGGAAGGGCTCAAAACGAAGCGGGAGGGGGTGGCACTATCGATAGCCTTGGCAGAGCCGGAGGGGAGGTCGTGCTGCCCACGCAGCCAGGCAATGGGCAGCGTTTTCCGAAGCGCTAGGGCCTCTCATCGACCCCTATGTGGGGAGGCAGAGGTGCGCAGCACATAGACTCAGAGGTTGGAAAAGACCTCTAAGATCATCATGTCCAACCATCCACCCAACACCCCCATGTCTACTAAACCAGATCCCAAAATGCCACATCTACACGTTTTTTGAACACCTCCGGGGATGGGGACTCCACCACCTCCCTGGGCAGCCTGTTCCACATCTGTGCACATCTGTGCGTCCTCGGTCTGGGGAGGCTGCTCTAGGGGCAGCGGCGATGAGAGCGATGCGAGCAGCGGGGTGAATGCATCCCTGCCTGCGCGGCCGTGCCTCGCGTCGGCCATGCTTGGGTGCCTTCGAGATGTCCTTGGAAGGACGCCGTTTGAAAGCCTGGCTTTGGCCTTGGAAAAGGTGTCCTTCCCCGTCTGCCTCGGGGGTGGGGGGACGTGCAGAGCACCCCAGGGCCGTGCTGAGGTCTGGCTCTGTGCCCCGTCAGCACGGGGGCAGGAGGAAATTGGCAGCGGGCTCTGGGGAAACCCGTTGTTTGCTCATGTTATTAGCAAGGAGAGAGGAAGTAATGATTTATTGATGCCTCTGTGATTCTCCTACGCTGGGCTGCAAGGAAGAAATTCTGTTTCCCGGCTGATATCCGTGGCTCTAACAGAGCTGTAGCTTGTTCCCGCAGGGTGCTGGCAGTGCCCCCGGTTCTCTGACGAGACGCCAGTCCAGCCCATGATCCTCAGGGCCCCGCTCTGCTCCTGCCTCTTGCTGTAGCCACGCTGGTGATGACGGGCTGTCTGTGGAGCCCGGGTTTCCTCTGCCATGGCGTTTTATTTGATTAAACCAGAAATACCTGATAGAGAGAGTGGCGGCCACTCCTTTCTGGGGTGAGATGCCAGGTGACTGCAGGTCATACCTCGCCAGAATACCCCTCTGTTCTCGCGGTGTGGTGGGCAGGAGGTGGTGTCCTGTTGGTGCCTCTTGCCGCAGCCGGGCCCT